ATCCGAAAGACCCGCTCACCCCGCGCTGGCAGCTGGGCCCGCGCTACGCCGCCAAGCAGTTCGCACGGCACGGCGCCGCCTCCGGAGTGGCCGCAGGCTCCCTCTGGCCGTCGCGGGAACAGCTGCAAGAGCTGGAGGCTGAGGAACGGGAGTGGCACCCCAGCCTGGCGGCTATGCAGGAGTCACTGCGGGTGCAGCGGCTGGCCGAGGAGGAGAAACGTCAAGCCAGGTGTGTGCGTGCTTTGGTACTGCATCCGTGTCCTTGTGGGTGACCTGAACCCCGAAAGGTGCCTGGACCCTTAGGCTTCCTGATTGAGGAGCCTGCATGCTGAATCTTACAAGCGTGTCTTCCTCGTCGCCAAACATACCTCCCCATGGTTAAGTTCGACAGCCCGTCTTTACTCGGTGCTTAGGGAGGGGGCAAGGCCCCACCCCAGGCACAGAGGACCGTAAGGGTGAGAACGTGAATTAGGGAGGGCAACTGGGTTTGAAAATCCCGTTTCATGCTGTCCTAATAGTTGGTGGTTCCAACTCACAGGCCTGGCAACCTGCCCCCAAAGTCACAGCGTGTTAATCATGTGGAGGGCTACCCTGCCCAGGCGAGGTCACCGAGTCCGAATGGACTCACTGGCAATGAACTTGGGTTCGGGAGGCCTCCAGGCCTGAGGTGGTATTTAAATTTAAGCTATTAGATCTAACCTGGATGACGGGTTCATTGGGAGATCTTGGGAGTTTGCAATGCAAGCAAAGTCGGTGCAAAGGCCCTGAGGTAGAAGCATCGAGAATAGGCAGGAATTGTGGTGGCTGGGGCAGAGTAGAGGGGGCCACAGGAGACCAGGACCAAAGCATAAAGCAGGCAGGCAGTCAAACTGTTGGCCTGGAGTCCGAAGACAGATTTTGGAAATGTTTAGCAGGCAGTTCTTGTGAAGGACGAAACTGGAAGACCAGGGCCATCTGGCAGGGCAGGTGGCAGAGGCCAGTTAGAGGGTGCAAGTCATTCTTGCTGCCCCAACAGCCTGAGGGAGCACCTTTGTCTTAGAGAGGTACAAACCAGACAGACGGGAGACTGGTCCAGGGTCACTTGGGCAGGGAAGGGTGGTGGAGCAGGGATGTAGGGCTGGCCTTCCAGTCACTGCCTGTCCCCTTCTAGATGAGCCTGGCTGGAGTTCTCCCAGCCACTCCTGATGGGCGCCTTCGCTGGTCCCACCGCACACGGTTGGAAGCTGTGTACTTCCTGCTGCTTTGCCTTGAACAGCACGCGCTCGGTGATGGCAGCAGGATGGAGGGTGGTGGCCAGCACGGGGCGGTCCACCCACAAGTTCGAGGCCACACAGCAGCAGTTCCTCTCCTGCCAATTTCTTTGCTTATCAAACCTTTTCCTGTTTGTCATGCGGTGCTTGGGCACACTGCCCCGGCTGGCTGAGGGCACCCACACCACCCACTCCATGTTGTCCCCCACAGGGAGCAGCTCATAGCAGAGCGGATGGCTCAGATGCCACAGATGATTGAGGACTGGCGGCGGCAGCAGCGGGAGCGCTGGGAGAAGGCACAGGCGGACAAGCAGCGGCGTGCAAGGCTGCAGGCAGAGGCCCAGGAGCGCCTAGGCTACCACGTGGACCCTCGGAGCACCCGCTTCCAGGAGCTCCTTCAGGACCTGGAGAAGCAGCAGCGCAAGCATCTCAAGAAGGAAAAACAAAGGCACCAGAAAGAGGCCCAAGCTGCGGCAATAGCCGCCACCCAGGGCCCAGCGACCTCTGAGCCCCCTAGCTCTTAAGACAGCCATGTCCTTTTGCAATAAAGCTTGCTGCCTCCACAGACCACTCCCGAGTTGGGTGCTCAGTCCTTCCCAGTACCCCTCCTGAGTCTCCAGTCCCTTTGTCAACACCTGGGCTGGGGGCGGGGAGGAGTGCACCACAGAACCCTTACCACCACTGCCCCCCAGCAAACGGGACTGGGACTCTAGGCTGTATCCCCTCACTGGAGTATGGGGGGGAGGGGGGTTAACAGAGGGTGATGCAATGGGGAAAGAATGGAGCAGCAGATGGCAGAGGCGAGGAAGGCTTCTGTTTACTAACATTCATCTTCAGTAATTAGCCAATTTCCAAGGGGAGAGTGTAGCCAAAACAGACTGTGGTGATGGGGGGCGGGGAGAAGCAGTCCTTCCAAGGCTGAGCTGGGCATTGCCATTCCTGGGGGTGGGCTGCACAGCTTGGAAGGGAGAAGACACCGGGAACCCTGGGCTACAGGGCTCACGCTGCCCCTGCCCCGCTCCTGTGCAGTTTCCAGTGCCTGTGCCCCAGACCCAGACAAGCTGGCGTGGGAGCCCCGCAGGCACAGACCACAGGGCTAGTCTTTAGAACTTTATTCACTTCAAAATCTTTTATCATAAACACAGCTCTCTCTTCTTTTGTGGGGGGTTGGGGAGGTAGCCTCAAGCCTCCACAGTGGCTCCCCCTTCCCAGCCAGGACAGACTGCACCTCTTCCCCACCAAAAAGCTGGAGGCCAAGGCCAGATTGGGCGAACTAGGGGGAAGGGGACCTGGGTTCCAGATGGGGACATTTGGGCCACTCCAATAGAGGATCAAAAGTTCAGGCTCCAGTTCCCATTAGAGGGCTGGGGGAGGGGGGGGGAGGCAGCAGTGTCTCTCCATCTGGCGGCAGGCGCTGGGACAGAGGCCAAGAGGGGTCCATCTGCTTCCCAGGCCTGCCAGCTCTATGGAGGGGGGTCGCTGGGTTGGAGGACAGCTGTCTAGCCTGGGTCTTCTCAGGCCAAGATGGGAATGGGGACACTAGGAGGACAAGGAAATTGAGGGAATCTGTCAGGTTGGTTTTTTTTTTAAGGTTTTTGAGAATTTTCTTCCACTTCTTAAATAAACATGAATATATATATATTTTTTTCTTTTATAAAACTTTTGTGGAATGGGGGTGAGGTGGGATGGTGGGCAGCCTGGTCCCCCCCGCATCACTCGTCGTCAAAGTTCTGACTCAGGAGAAAGTTGGCAGCCAAGTTCTCATTTTTTTCACAGGCGAAGTAGGCCTGGATGACCAGGCTCTCAGGGAAGCCAAGGGCCTTCAACTGCAGGAAGACGGACAGGTGTGAGGGGGTGGGGCAGCCCCACCCACCAGTAGGGTCCCCCTCAACCAAGCCTCTTACCCTCTCTATGGCTTCTTTCTCCTGCGGTGTCACCTGGATGTAGTTCATCTGGGGGGCCTCCTCACCAATGGCCCCTGCCTCCCCCTCTGCGTCTGAGATGTCTGCCAGCTCCCCAGGGGGCTCGTTCAACATCTGGATAAACTGCTCCTGGTGCCGGCTGATTTGCTGAGGGGAAGGGAAGGGCAGGGCAGGTGACCGCCAGCCCTGGTCCCCATGGCAGAACTCGCTTTTTGTTGACACAGCAGATATGCAGGAGGTGCCTATAGCCAGACATGGGCAGCACAGGAGGAAACACGGACCCTGTCCTGGTGGAACTGAGGGTTCAGAGCGACTAGCAAGGCAGAGCCACTTCCCTAGGCAGAGCACCGGGCTGGCACCGAGCCTGCCAGTAGTAAGGCATCATTGGGCAAATCACAGAAATAGATGAACAAGGAAAAGGGAGACAGAGGTCAAACCCCACTCACTCTGTGCCCTGGGAAGCAAGGTTTGTGATGGCTGGGTGGGGACTGACTTTCAGAAAGATGTACTCACTGACGATTCTGGGGGTGTGCATGTGTGCTCAGTGCATGTGTGCAGTGACCCCAGTGATGTAATTGGTTCCGAGTTGGGTTGCAAACTGCAAAGTCAGCAGTTTGAAGCCAACAGCCGCTCTACAGGACAAAGGCCAGGCGTTTTACTTTGGCAGTCAGTCTTGAAACCCACTAGGGCAGCTCAGCCCTGTCCTGTAGGGTGGCTGTGAGTCGCCATCACTCAAGGGCAGCGAGTTTGATTTGTTTCAGTGTGTTCATCTGAAAATTTTACCATGAAGGGACAAGGTGGTGGTGTAGTGAGTTAAGTGCTCGGCTGACTGACACAGCTGCTCCTATTCAGATTACAGTCTCTGAAACCCTAAGGAGCAGGTCTACTTTGTCTTACAGATTACAGTAAGTTGGAATTGACTGGCTGGAGAGGGTGGGCGGACCGAGTGGAGAGAGGGCTGTGGGGGAGCTATGCAGGAGCTGGATTTGGGTGAGAGGAGGGGCAATCTGGAATGAGAAGTAGAGCAAACTGGACAGGTGATGCACAGAGAGGGAGAGTGGGCGTGTATGTGTGTGCCCCTGTGGAAGTCTGAAATGTCTAAGGAGCACTTCAGTGGACCCATAATACCAGCCAGCACCAGTGTGGCATCCCAGACGTCTGGGGCCACTTCATCACTGGGGACTCAACACACAGACAGAAAGGCCTGGACACCATGAATGGAGGACAGAGTGCAAGCCGAGGGCAGAGAAGCAAGAGCCAGGAGCACCAGCATGATCTGGAGCAGCAGGACCAACAGTGGCCACCTGCAGGGTCCCGGGAGGAACCAGCCCCACTCCTAGCGTCTTCAGGACCCTGGCTCCCCCAGGTGTCGTTTGTAACCACTGCCTGGAATCTTGTTAAGCACAATGGTCCCAGAGCCAACTAGGGCACAGTTGTCCTGGGTACTGTCAAGCAAATCCCACAGAGCACCAGCTGTGCATGGAGCAGAGCCAGAGCCCCAAAGCAGACAGCACAGAGCCTGAGGGGAGGAAGCATGTACTGCCAGCTTCTTCAAACTGGGTACAACACCACAGGGTGGCTAGGAGAATCTTGGGCCATCGTGCAGATCCCAGGGAGCAAACAGGGATTGTTAGTCCTGCCATCCAAGTAGAGAGCAGCTTTTGCGCCCACACTGGGTCAGACTGCCTTTGCAGGGCTGTGGGACCCGAGGGGAGTGGAGAAGGTGGCTGTCCCCTGGCCTGCACCTGTAAGAGCTGAGGGTTCTCCTGGCCCAGCTGCTGGAGCAGGGCGGGCAGCAGCGCCGGGTTCTGTTGGATCACCTGTCGCATGTTCTGGAACTGGGGCTGGTCCCGCAGGAACTCCAGGGGGTTCTCTCCTGCTGGTGGTTGGAGGGAGGGGTCAAATACCACAATGAACTCCCAGCAGCACTGGGGGCAGGGGTGTTCAGCAGTACTAAGAGCAGACACCCCTTGGGCACACCTCCCCGCACACTCACCTGCTTCTGTGGCCGGCTGCTCGGGTGCCTGGCTCTCCTGGACGGAGCTGTGCTCTGGCTCAGGGCTCCCAGGAATTCCCTGTCAGGGGTCATTTTCAGTGCTATATCAAGACCACTCTGCTGCCTTCAGATTCCATGCCCACCCCTAACTCAAGACCTGCTTCATATAAGGAAGCCTTTCCTGGCTAATTTGTCCCCCTCTCCCTCCCCGCCAACTTCTCTCTTCTCCCTGACTGCCTAGCAGGGCAGTACAGCCAAAGGAGCCCCCCCCCACACACACACAGCTTTTCCAGGGAGACAGCAACCTGCCCAACTTACCGTGAGAAGATACTCCACAGCACGATGGGGGTTGTTGTAGCTAGCTCTCAGCGCAGCCACGACCCGCGCCCGCTCGTAACCCATGGACATGATCTCCGCCAGCATGGTTTCATACTCGGAGCCTGTCACTGTGGGGGAACAGCAAAGGCTGGGTGAGAGCAGGCAGTGCCTCGGCACCCCTCACACAGGCAAGGTCCTGCTGATGGCTGCGGTGCCCCACCACCTCCACCCTGGGGACCCGCCCACCCACCTAGTGTGGAGGCCGCATCATCCTCTCGCCCGCTGCTACCTGAAGAGGGAACAGAGCTGCAAATTCAAGAGAGAGAAATCGGACCCTGGCTTATGCCAGCATCCCCCTCCCCGGTGCTCAGGGCCAGCACATGTGTGGAGAAGAGAACCTGGAGGCAGACCCCTGGCTACCTTACCCTGACACAGACTCCGGGGACATCGTGGGGGCCGACTCCTCTGACGGGCTCTTGTCCTCTCGGGCAGCTGGGGGCTGGGACATGCCTGAGGCAGGGGTTGGCGGGAAGGCTGTGGAAGACTCGGGGGCAGCAGTAGGCGAGGTCTCTGCAGGGGCTGAGGTGCCTGGGACAGCTTTGGTCTGTTATGGCCAGGAAAGGGGGACAGCCTCAGCACCCCTATCGAGCCCCAACACCCCACCCAGCGGCAGCCCCACCCCGTTCCCAGCTAATCTGTCTGGGGCACACAGGTTCTTGGCCGGCTCTGCAGCAAATCCACCAGCCACCACCAACCTTGGTCACCATAACAACCACAAAGTTCTTCTCATCTATTCGATAGTCCTTGATGGGGACGTCATCACTCAGGATCTTGCCGGCATAAATGAGCTTCTGCCCCGCCACGGGGAAGGCATCACGACCCTTCTCGGCTTCTATCTTCTCCTTGAGCACCTTCACCTGAAGGGAGAGGCATAAAGCCATTGCAAACCCCCAATCCCTTCTTCTCATCCAAACGTGGAGGAAGAGCAGCAGCTACCAGGCCTGAGGGCAGAAAGGCTAAGGCTAGTGGTTAAACCATGCCACCATTCAACCTTACATTTACTCTGTGCCTGGGGCCAGTGGTGGACCAAAGACACAGGAGAGAGGAAAACCCTATGAAAGCCTCTGTTTTCGCAATAGGAGAAGAAACACTTATTTTATTAGATGGTATGAAGTGAGAAAGAAGAAGGGGGGAGGGGAGGGGATGGGAGGTGGCCCCCTATTCCTTGCTGCCCACCTTGGGCAATAACCCACTGCCACTGAGTCGATTCTGAATTGACTCAGTAACCCTAGGTAGGGTTTCTGAGACTAAAAATTGTATGGGAACAGCTAATCCCACCTTTCTCTCACAGAGCAGTTGGTGGGTTTGAACCAATGACCTTGGGGTTTGCGGCAACACCTAACCCACAGCGCCACTAGGACTCAAGGCAGTAACAGTAGCCAATGCTCATTGAGAGCACCCTAAGTTGAATGTACTATTTTAAATACGTCCACTATGAATGCTTCTTAAGCCTTACGAAACCATGGAGCCATCGTGAGCCCTAAATTTTATCAGAGGAAACCGTCACCCAGGAAGATTATAAAAATTGCCCAAAGTAAACTAGCTGGGCGGGGCAAACAAAACCCAGTCTGTTTTTCTCCACCACCAGCCGCCTCAAAAAGTGGAGTTCAGTCTCTTCCCCTTCTACACAGGCAGCACAGCGACTGAATGACGTGGGTGCCAGTTCCTTTGCGCTCAGACAGCTCAGCGTTTAACACCGTGAGTTTTCTGCAGCTGGCAGGGCGCAACGTGAGTCGCCGCCGGCCACTTTTTTTTTGTGTTTGCTGTCTGGGGCTTTATTAACAGAGAAGCGTGAACGGTTCCCGAAGCTGCGGCAAGCCTGTTCTGCCGTTAGGTCAAGGGCACCAACAATTTCAAGCATCTGGAGAAGAATACGCGGCCAACCAACCAACCACGCGGACCACACGATGGCGACCGTTTGATCATCTCTATCCGCGTCGCCGCCGCCTGTCCTTGGCACCTCCCGCGCTCAGACTCAGCCACCGCCGTCCCGAGGTGTCGCCAGCCAAAGCTGAGCAGGCGGGCGAGCCCGGCTCCCCAAGAGCGCAAGCTGGCTGGGAATCCGAGCCGGCGGCCTCGGCGCCCCGCGAGGGCTGACACTGGATCTGGGGCCTGGCGAGCGCCCCGGGAGCGGCCCTGTCCCTGAGGCCCGCCCAGGAACGCTCTCGGAGCGCCGGGAGCCGACCCCGGGCCCCGGAGGCGCTCAGCGGAGATCCGGCAGGTGGGGAGGGGGCAGGGCCGGACCCAACCCACCCCGCCCTCGGCGCCCCATTCGCCGGGACCCTGGCCTCCCCGCCCCCACCCCTCCCCCGGCACCCGTCGCTCCCGCCCCCGAGCCCAGCTGGCCCGCACCGTCTCGTCAGGTTCCATGCGTATCTTGAAGGTCTGCTGCTGCAACGTTTTGAGAGTGATGGTAACGGCCATGGCGGGGCCCGAGCGACGGATCCAGGCCCCCGGGATCCTAACACAACATGCAACTCACGCCGCCGCCATCTTAGCGCCCAGCCGCGCCGCGCGTTGACCACTTCCGGGGCAGGTGCGCGCGCGCCGGCCGGCCGCTCACGTGACCGGCGTATGCCCCACCCCCCCTTAAGCTTTCCGGAGCATGCGCACCAGCGCGCCCTCAGGCGACGCATGCCCACATGAAACTCTCCCCTCGAGGTGGTGTTGCTCCTGGCACCACGCGTACTTGTCACGTGGCTTGCTGTGAGTGACGCCATGCCCGTTGGCGGTGACGTCATCCCACCACAAAATGGCCCCTATTTTCCCACTCCCTCCCACAATGTTTAAATTTTTTTTCCTCACAATATCGTCGTTGGCATCAAGCAAAATTTATCATGCACTTAAGACATTTGCATTTCCCCTGTAAAATCACTGTCCGTGGTTTTCACCCAAATGACATGTGTGAAAATTACTCAGGATTGGAAGTGCCACTTGGAACAACTTCCTGGTTTCAATCATTCCTGAAAATGATGACTTTTGGGTTCTCTCAGGGCGATAGCTACCTCATCAGTTTTGATCACTATATCCCCAGGCCCGGCTCCAAAAAACATTTCATGTGATGTCAAGGCCAAGGCGCCCCGGCACATGTGACTGGCAGGAAGGGAGAGCTGAGGGGCAGACTGACTACCCAGTTTACATCTAGACTTGATATGGCAACCTCCATCATTGTCTGCCTCACCTTCACCAACTCACCCTTCAAGCCAGGGATTGGACATTCACTTGACATTATCACCCACTGCCCAACTGTAACCAGTTCCTGCAGCTTACCCACTGTATGAGGCTTTAAAATGTTCACAGGTAATCCCATTATCTTTTCATTCCCTCTGTCCATTAACTTTTAGAAATCTTTCAAGCCCAGAACACTCCACTAGCACTGGCCATGACCAGCTCTTACCTTCTCCCAAAACAAGTCCATCCTCACACCCCCCAAATCCCTAGACTTTTAACTTCCTGTTGGAGAGGCCCAGGGACCTCTGCCAACAATTCTAGCCTAGCCCCCTTTCCCTCGAGTTCAAATCCTTGCCACTGAAAAACCTCCGCAACTGGTTTGGTACTTTGTGTGTGAATCTATTTCCTAGGTTGTGGTAGGAAATAGCCTTTTAAGACTGGCTGACATGAACAATGTTTAAGCCACTGGGCAGGGGGTGTACACTTGTCGTTAGTCTGCAGTGCCATCTCAGGAGCCCTGGTGGTGGAGTTGGGCTGCAATCCACATGGTCCAGTTCAAAACCACAAAACCACCAGCAGATGCTCCAGAGAAAGACTGGGCGTTCTATTCCCAGAATGCATTATAGTCTGAAACTCACAGGGGTAGCTCTAGTCTGTCTCCTATAGGGTTTCTGAGTTGGCATCAACTCGATGGCGAGTTTGACTTGGCTTTCAATGTCCTCTAGTTCCAGTTCACAGCAGAGCAACACTGCCTGCTCCTGTGCACCACCCTCAGGTTGGAGGCTACTGGTGCAACTGCTGCTGTCAATCTATCGCACTGAGCGTGGCTGTCCTGTTTTCAGACTCCCCCTGACCAAACATGGCGTCTTTTTCTGGGGACTGGTTCCCTCTTGAAGAGTATTGGTGGGCTGCTAACTGCAAGGTCAGTAGTTTGAAACCACCAGCTGTTCTGAGGAAGACAGACTAGGTTTTCCACTCCTTGTCAAGAGTTAGCCTCAGAAAGCCACAGGGGCAGTTCTCTGTCCTATTTGATAGGGTCACCATGAATTGGAGTCCACTCAACAGCAAGGAGTTTTTATTTTCGAAATCTCACCAACCTTACTTCTAAGGAACACTCAGGCGGTCTTGCTTCCGATGCAGAATTTGTACCAAACTGGTGAACCTGCTGGTGCCTGAAATATCAGTGGCAGAGCTTCCAGTGTCACAGTGGAAAAATGGGACAAATTGATGGATGAGCAGTTGCCATAATAACTAATAAGGACAGGTTGTTAGGTCTGAATGCACACCGTGTCTCCTCCCCACAATCAGATCAAACTGGCGACAGAAGGGAGAGCTCATTAGTGCATAGAGCACACTTCTAGCCTTCAATGGACAAGCCAGGCCCCTTGTCACAAGGGGGGGGGATTCAGCCAACTCTTCCACAGTTTAAAAAGAAATTCAGAAACTCCATGAAGAACCACTCCCTGAAAAAAAGGCCACCCTTGGTTCCCTGATCTCCAACTTCCCTCACCCCACCCCACCCCGAAAAGGAGACAAAGGAGGGAGACACAAAACTTAATTTAATAGAAATTTGCTTGTAGTTTACATTCTCTGGAAATCACTGCCTCTTCCAGAAGTGGCCCAAGTTCTGGGAGCAGGGGAGGAGGGGTCAGAGGTCAGGTCCTAAGAGCTCCACTCTTCCTCAGTGCTGGAGGGCTGGGAACACCACCCTCTTTCTCCTGCCTTCCCACACACACCCCTAGGCTCCAGATAGGAGAGCAATTGGAATCTCAGGCCTGGGCTTCTCCCACGGGCTGGAGAGGAGGCTAAGGGTCTGAAGGGAGGAGAAGACAGAGGAAGGGAAAGATGTCGATCAAGAAAGATGAGGGCCAGGGATGAAGGCTGAGTGATAATCGAAGACAAAACACCAGTAAAAAAGAAAACAAAAACAAAAAAAGAGGGAAGGGACAAAACCAAAATCCGCCCCAAATCTGAACCCGCCTGGAAAACAATGAAGAGTTCTCGAGTCTCATAGAGACATTATTTGGCGCGGCCGGCTCTGCGGCAGGAGCGCTCAGGCTTCAGTCCAGCCCTGGAGACAGGCGGCCCAGCCTCTACAGCTCGTCCTTAGCCTGGCCCACATCTTCCTCCTCCTCCTCCTCCTTGTCCTCTTCGTCGTCCTCCTCCTCCTCTTTGTCCTCCTCCTCCTCCTTGTCCTCCGCCTCCTCCTCCTCTTTGCGCTTCTTGTCCTCTTCCTCCTCCTTTAGCCTCTGCTCTTCATCCTGCTTGTCCTTCATGGCCTTTTCTGCAGCCTGTGGACACAGACCACCTACCTTAGGGCCTGGGCCCCGCCTGCCAGCCTCTACTGCCACCCCCAGACCCAAGCCTGGGGCCAAACCCTACCTTTGTGGCACCCCATGTCTCATTGCCAAACTCCTCGGCATAGGCCTCGTCGTTGGTGATGAGGAAGTTGTCGAAGATGGTGCCAGACTTGACCTGGGGGTGAATGGAGGGAAGAGGTAGTTGTCAGAAGTGTCACCTTAGCCCTTAGCCCTCCGTTCCTGTGTTCACCAGACATACACATGTTCCTCAGACTCTTTACAAAGACCTGTGTACACAGAGTAGCATCGTGGTTAACAATGAAAACAGCAACAGGGACTGCAAGCCACGCGGCCTGATCGAAAACTCCAGCTCTGCCAGGTCTCACCTCCCTTCTCTGCCCCAGGTTCCTCATCTACTAACATGAGGGTTCACTTACTTGGTTACCGGGCGGAGTGCGCCGTCAGGTAGACTATCAGTGAACCGTGAACAGACAGACAAAAATGGCAAACTAGAGACCAACCAGCTTCCTTGCCTTCTAGTTGAGAAAACCCAAAGACCTGGTTCACAGAAGGCTACTTGAGAAGATACAGCACTCAAGGAACACAACGAACGCCCCGCAGAAAGAAGCTAGGACATGTTCCCAAGAACAACAAAGTCATTATTTGGGGGTCAGACTTCCCCCTCTGTTCCTTCTCTCCTGCCTAAGCCCAGTCTTCCACCACGGTCTCACCTGCCAGAGATCCAGGCCCAGCACGGCAAAGCTGTCATAGGAGTAGATGCTGTCATCGGGGGAGTACTCGGGGTTGTCGATCTCCGGGTGGATCCACTTGCCTTTGTAATCTGGGTTGTCGATCTGCCGGGGCTTCCACTCGCCCTGTGAAAGAGCCGGTGGCAACTTGCCAGTGAGCAAAGTCCAGTGCCCTACCTACCACCAGCTACCCCAGGCCTGCTCGGAGCCCCAGACCCACCTTGTAGTCAGGGTTCTGAATCACAGGGGGCTCCCACTCGCCATCCATCTCCTCATCCCAATCATCGGGCTTCTTGGCATCAGGGTCAGGGATGTGCTCTGGCTTATCCCAGTCCTGAGGGTGCAGGAGGATGGCCCAGAGTCAGCCAGGCTGGGGCTGTCCACCATCCAGTCTGTGGTAGGGCGGCCCCAGCCTAAGCGCCAACCTCAGGCTTGGAGTCTGTGGGGTCATCGATCTTGGCTCGCTCATCCCAGTCTTCCGGCTTGGCGGCATCGGGATCCTTGATCTTCTTGGGAGGCAGGAAGTCCCAGTCGTCTTCCAAGGAGCCGGACTCCACCTGGCTGTTGTCAATCTTCACCTCATAGGTGTTGTCAGGCCTCACGATCAAAGTGTACAGGTGGGTGAACTCGTCATCCTGAAGAGGGTGGGAAGTGAGTGACCCCGCCTACTTGGCTGGCCTCAGCCCCTGGGGGGGGAGCCCTCTGCCACACCCACACCCCCACACCTCAGGCACACCTTGCAACGGATGTCCTTGTTGATGAGCACATTCTTGCCTTTGTAATTGAAGATGACATGAACCTTCTTGGTACCAGGACCACAGATGTCAGGACCTAGGTGAAACACCAGGTGGGTTAGAGACCAGGTTGACCCCCATCAGCAACTCCCACTCATCTGTCACAAGAAATTTTCTTCTTTAAAGGGAAAAAAAAAAATCAAGCCCCTGTGAGTTCTAACCAGGTTAAGACCAATGGCCCTTCAGGAATTGGAAATAAAGCTGTACATTAAAACATTGTTCATGTAGAACTTGGAATCCTCCCTTAAGAGGAGGAAAAGTGCTGACCAGGAAGTACTGAAACCAGCATAAGCACAATGAGCTACAGTTCGCTGTGTGTATTCCTTTAGCCGACCCCTCCAAGGAAAGGGACTTGGAGTTCTTCCCACTCTCCCAGGGCCACTTCTCACTGGCTGAAGAGCCCCTAAGGTTTAAGTCTCTCAGGGGAAGTGGGCAAGGCCCCCTCACCGAACATGATGTTGTACTCGGAGTCCCCGTGCATGTCCGTCTGGTCCAAGCCACCAGGAAACAGCTTCACGTAGCCACCCCCACAGTCAATGTTCTGCTCGTGCTTCACAGTAAACTGGACCACCAGGGTCTTGTCCTTGTTGCTGAAGGGCTCAAATCTTGACGACAGGGCATAAAAGCGGGCGTCCTGGCTGGTCTGCAGCCCTGGAACAGGTCAGTCACAGCTAGGTCCAGACTCCGGGTCCCCAGGCCTCTGGGATTACCGACTACCCGCCCCTCTTCCTGTTTGCCCTGCTCCGGGGGAAGCCCAGGTTTTGCATAGTGCCCAGAGCTTCTGCCAGCCGAGTCTGCTCAGGTCTGAGCACTCACCCACAGGCTCTTACCTTTATCTTTCTCCTGGTCACCATAGAACTTGCCAGAACTGAGGACGAATTTGCCAAAATCCGACTTGTGTTTGGATTCGATCCAGCGGTCCGTCCACCCATCTGGGAGGTCAGAGGGGCTGGTCAGGGTGGCTGCGGCTGACACTTGCCCCTCAATATCCACCTCACATAACCCGTTGGGGGCAAGTAAGGAAATTACCCCTGTCATCACCCCCACCCCACCCCACCCCCGAACTCTAGTTTGACACCTTGGGCGAAGCCCTAACTCCCGCCTCGGAAGGCTGCTGCGCCCTCCGTGCTCCCCCGGGACGCAGAGGGAGGGAATGCCCGCGGCTCTGGTCCCCGGGGCCACAGTGTTGGTCCTCTGAGCGGTTAATTACAGACAACGCAGATCCGAGCGGGGGACCGGCCGCGTCGTCCGGGCGGACTCCGGATGGAACCAGGCGTTACCTCCGTCCAGAAACTCCTCCTTCAAGTACACGGTGGGTTCTGCGGCGGCCAGGCCGAGGAGGCCCAGCAACAGCGGTACGGGTAGCAGCATGGCGGGCCGAGGGGGCGGCGGCGCGGGCGCCCTTTAAGTCTCTCACGGGGCAGCGGCTCTGCAGCAGGGACGGACCCCTTCAGCGGCCGCGCGCTTTTATACCCGCCTGCCTCTCAATCCAACCTGCCCCGGCCTTTTGGCCCGCCCTCCACGTGTTATCATTGGTCCGAGGCTACAACCGCCCCTTTCTATTGGATCTTTGTCGGGGCAGCAAGCTAGACTGTGCCTCGGAACGCTGGGTTCCCAGATGGCCGATTTCTATTGGCTGGACCACCGGCCAATGAGAGTCGACCACGCGTTGTGGGGGACGCCCACCGGTGGGGTGGGAGGGGGGGTGGGGACCCGCGAGCCCTTCAGGGCAGATCATGTGACCGGCCCCCTCAGCCCAGCCCCGCCCTTCTTTCCGCGCTTAGCTCCCCCCCTCAGGGCGTTTAAAGAACCCGCGCGCCAGCGCAGGTGTCACCTCACAGGTCCGGGACCCCTCCCCTTCCCCCTTCCTCCTTGCATGGACGGGTGAGCACGACCTTTCGGCTTTCCAAGCCACTCCATGTCTATCCTGCATTTGAGAAACCCAACACCTACAGTGGATCCCCCTGGAATCTCGACCCCGCACCCTCCACACCCCAAGATGGGACCCGGTGCTCAGAAACTAGAGCTCTTGGGTTTTCCCGCACCTTAGTGTCAGGCCTGCAGCGTGGCAGGCAGCCAGATGGTGCCAGCTTTCCTCCTCCCGGCCCCCAGGACCTGGCTGCCTGGCTGAGAGACGCTGTGTGACCCAGAGCAAGTCACTCGGCCTCTCTGAAATCCCAGCAGTTTCCTAAGAGGCGCAGAGGGGTGCCCCTACCGGCTCTGATTTGACAGATCACGCTTTGAAATCTTTTAGGAGTGGACTGGAACAGAGTAGAAAGCCCGGAGCCTCCACAAAGTGGCGGCTCCTACTTGGTTCCCTTCCCGGCAGCCTCCCCTTTGCTTCCCCCTCAGCCAGTACACGAAAAGGGTCGCTGTCTTGTGGTCGCCCACAAACCAACCGCCTGGCTTTTGCAATTAAACGGCTAAGGGCCAGGGGGCAGGGGGCGGTTGGGGAGGAAAAAGAGAGGCAGGCGGTAGGAAAGATAAGATCCAAGGCTTCAGGCAGGACCCCCCACCCCCCGGATCTAGAGTCTTCTCCTGGAGCCAAAGGCATGTGACTACCACCAGCTCCTGGCCCCCAGGTTGCCGGGAGTAGGAAGGCCTTGTAAGGGTTTTCCAGTCTCTGAAGCACCTGGACCCTGAGAGCAAGGCAGTGGACTGTGGAACCACACGGGAAAGGTGGGAACCCCTGGGACAAGGAGGGGGAGGAGTTGCTCCCCTCTAGTGGTGAGGACTCTGGAAAGGGAAGAATGAGAGAGAACTTGAAGAAGGAGGTGCCTGCCACTTTCCTGGCAGTTTCCATGTCACCAACAGAGCCACTCATCAGGAGGCCCAAGTTCAGAGTGATTACCACAGGTCTCCCCCAGCCTGGCTTCAGTGTCAAGGGCTTGGTGCTTGCTGCCTGAGGGTAGCCCCTGCTTCTGCTCACCATCACCCAGTGTCTCTGTTCCCCCTGGCAAAGAAAACGCTTCAGAATGACTTGTTGTGTGACAGGAGGCATGAAGGACTCTTGAGAGAATGAACTCGAAGCAGAGCAAGTGCTTAGAAACCCAGAGTAGAGGGAGGATGTCGAGGGACAGACATATTCTGACTTTTTATGAGGATCTCCCTGATGCCCCAGCCAGGTAGGGTCAGGGTCGGAGGACATAAGACACCTCATTTAACAGAAAAATCAAACCAAACCCACCCCCGTCCAGTGCCCTTTAATTCATAGCAACGCGATAGGACAGAGTAGAACTGCCCCATGGGCTTCAGAGACTGTAGGTCTTTATGGGAGTAGACAGCTTCCTCTTCCTCCCACGGAATGGCTGGTGGGTTCAAACCACCAACTGTTCTGTTAGCACTCTAGTTCTTACCCTGCTGAGCTACCAGGGACCCCATTGATAGACTCAGATAATGCCTGCGATGATCAAATGAATAAATAGGGCTCTTCTGAAGTGTGGATGAGCTTGCCCGACATGCAATCCACACTCCGTATCGACATCGACTGCAGTTGTGGGTGTGTAGGGTTTCACTGAATTGTCACACTAACCCCAGTCGAAGATACAAAGGCACTGAAAGAGTGAGCAATTTCACTGAGCGATTTAAGTGCAAATTCTGGAATATGAGTCTCCCTGCATTATGCATTCTGAGTAAGTAACCCGGGCTAGGTTACTCACTCAAAAAACACCACTGCCCTTGAGTGGAGGCTGACTCAAAGCGACCCTCTAGGGCAGGATAGACCCGCCCGTGAGTTTCTGAGACTCTGTTTATGGGAGTAGACAGCCCCGTCTTTCTCCCGGTGACCCAGGTTTGCCAGTGTTTCCACACTCATCACGTGTGGAAGCTTAAGGTAAACAAAAAGAGAATGTGAAATAGCTCAACTTGATTTACTAGAATACATGTTCAAACAACAATAATCTGGATGTACTGGGTGATGTAAGCTAAGCTGTTTTGTTTGTTGTTTGTTTGAGATGAACTTGTTTTTCCCTGAAGACCCCAAGTCCATTTCAATTTCACTTTTTTCCTCTCCCCTTTAAGCCACTCAAATGACTATTCAGGTTGAGGGATAAGGAATCTGGAGGGATTTTCTTATTATATATTTTTATTTTTTATTTTAATAAATCATTTTACTGGGGCTTGTACAACAATCCATACATCCATTGTATCACGTGCATTTGTGCATAGGTTGCCATCATCATTTTCAAAGAATTTTCTTTCTACTTCAGCCCTTGATATCAGCTTCTCTTTTTTTCCTCTCCCTCCCCAACCTGGATTTATTTTTTTTTAAAGAAACCATACACAGCCTATCTCTAGAAAGGAAATAATGTTTTTGATTATTCATATTGGAGTTTATCTCAGATATGTTATCTCATTAGGTTTTTTATGTTTATATGTGTTTCTGATTTTCAGTATCTGAAACCCAGGATTGATGAACCGATAGGGACAGGCGGTAGAATAAGGGTTTGGGGGGAGGGGGTAGAGCAGTGGTGGGGTGGGGGTCAAAGGGAGCCAATGTCAAGGAGTCCAGGAAGGAAATGAATGTCGTGAAACTGATTGTGGTAACAATTGTACAATCCTGTTGATGTGATTGAACTGTGGAATGATATGACATTTGTATTAACTCTCAATTTAAAAATATATATAACCAAAAAAAGAAATAAAAAACAATATCCTATTAAACCCTCTATATGAGTTTTTTTAACAGTAAGCTGTTAAAACTCATTTTACCTGTTCCTTTTTTTTCTTCCCCCCAATGGCTACCAGAAAATTTTTAATATACTTGTTTCTCACATTGCATTTCAAGAAAACAGTACTGATCTAGAACAGGGGGTCCGTAAATTTTTGGAACAGAAGTGCACTAAACATGCCCCTCACAACAAACAATTTAAACATTATTTGAGAGCCATAAAAACATTCTTACATCCCTCACTGACCCATAGTCCTACAGGGGACAACACTGGAGACACAGTGTGGGAATTGCACCCGATCTGACCCCACCACACCGAGGCTAAACACTAAGGGCGTGCAACAGAACAGCAAGGGGAGCAGAGCAAGGAAGTCCTGAGGGAGTACCGAAAATAGACTTTGGGACCAGGGCGTGGCACCCCATCAGACTCCACCGGAAAACCCCTCTAAAGGCCAACAAACAGTCCTTGAACTATTTACAGGCTTTTATTTTTTTGATCATTGTTTTTTTTGTTGTTTTGTTTTCTTTTCTTTTGTTGCTTTGTCTTGCTCTGTCTTGTTTTTCTGCATGTCATTATTTCTGCAGGTCTATGTAGATAAGATAGGCTGGATAAACAATCTGGAGGAAAAAACAACAGGACCAGCAGTTCCAGCGGGACATGGGAGATGGGGAGATGGGGGAAAGGAAGTGGTGTTAACAAACCCAGGGACAAGGGAACAAGTGATCCAAAATCGGTAGTGAAGCAGGTATAAGAGCTGGATCAAGGGTAATGTAACCGGGAGGAATTACTGAAACCATTACTGAAACCCAAATGAAGGCTGAGCATGACAGTGGGACAAGAGGAAAGTAAAAGGAAATAGAGGAAAGAGCTAGGAGGCAAAGGGCATTTATAGAGGTCTAGAAAAAG